ACTATTACTACTCTACAGCCCGTTGTTGGACCTTGGCAGGTTTCAGTAGGTATGTAGGACTCCTTGGACGAGGGATCACGACGGCGCAAGCCCGCTTCCTTCACACAGAACAACACAAACACGGAATAAACGCATACAGACATCCATACCTCGAGTGTGATTCGAACCCACGACCCTAACGTTCGAGCAATCTAAAACAGTTCATGTCTTAGACCACGCGGCCACTGTGACTGGCAGTTGAGAATATAGTGGCATTAAATTGAATATAAGCCGGTCACGGTAGCCAAGCGGTCTAAGGCATGTACTGTCTTCGCTCGCTTGGAAACCGGGATCGTGGTTTCGAATCCCACTCAGGGCATGGATGTTTAATTTGTGTATGTGCGTTTTTCTGTGTTTGTGTACAGGTAGAGGCCTTGCGACGAGCTGATCACCCGCCCAAGGAGTCCTACCGAATGTGTAAGATTTAGAAAACCCGAAGTGAACAGAGAAGTTCATGGAGGTAGGCCTTGGCCCACTGGGACTGTAGTGCCAAGGGGGGGGGGGAACTGAATGTAAATGTAAAGTGCAGCGTGAGGGTTTAGGTAAGTTGTGTGTATGTGTGCATATCCTCTTGTTTTGTTTCTTAATTAGGTCCAGATTATGATTGAAATTGAATTAAATTGTTAGAAACAACATGTAAGTGGCATATAGGAAGTCTGTGGTGCGCAAGCATAGTTGTACTTGTGGTATGGCAGGCCTAACGGTGCTCGGTTGTTGTATTGTGGTCCTTACGTTTGTACGAAAATTTTGTAACAAGTTTATAAGCGAAATGAACCGATATTGGTCCCACCTCATCTGTTCGTTGTACGTCTCAAGCGACACCTGATGTACTCAATTCAGGGCTGCCTAGACACTAAACATTTCTATTATAGCGGAACCGGTGAAATATTGTGCCGGGTCTTCATGCTGTTTTCTCTTGGTAGTGTGCGTTCCATAAAGGAACCGTCTGCAATTAATTCGACTGCATATAGTAGTTGTGTTGACGAAACCTCTCAAATTTTTGAACCGCTGAAACACTTAGAATCTTACGTCACTCTTCATTGAAAATATATGTTTCTCTTCATGCTGCTTCTCCTTCCTGATCCACAACGGTGTAGCACTCTGCCATTTCCCACTGATTGTATCTTATCTCTAGTGGAGTTGAATATCTTCTCGTTTGGCCTTTGTCTTTTTGGTTGTCCTCGCCCGTGTTGCTTGTTTTGAGTGTTTCATTTTTATTTTTGTATTTGATATTAGTCTGATGGATGTTTTATTTTGTTAGATGTTCACTTTAGTTAACCGAGCGTTTCTTGAGGAAAAAAATAGAAAAGTATACTTGTCGGAAGATAAATTGAAATTGTATTGTCTGACTCTTTGTATTTCCGTTTTTTATTAGCTTGAAATTTATGCATTAAATGTTCGATTGCTCCTGTCATAAGATTTAGTGCAGTGGTTCCCAAACTGTGGTCCGGTGCAACACTAATATTCGCGTGCTGTAGTCAGGTGTTGAAATTGATTATCGGAGAGCTTCTGCTAATTACTCATAAACAAAATTAAAATTATTGGAATGATTTTTTTCAATTGTCTGCATTTCTCGCAATCTCATATGCAAATTTTTATTTTTATTAATGATTTCTCATATAGATGATAATGACTCTTATTATTACTATTATTGTGGACATACGTGGATCACTGCATCATATATCACGATTTATGCTACGGATATTGCTCCTGCTTCCAATGATGGCATAAAGGAATTGATTCTTCACGGCGCTTCACAGCAGAATGACATCCAGGTGTTCCCCGAATTGAAGGAAACTGGAACCACTGCTTTAGAGACTGACCGCCTCTACAGTCTAGTGGTCAGAGTTCCTGCCTACAGATCCAGAGGTCCGGGTTCGATTCCCGGCGCTACCAGATTTTCTGAGAAGTAGTGGGTCTGGGACGTAGTCCACTCAGCCTCGTGAGGATAATTGAGGAGATATTTGAAGGAAATGGCGGCTCCGGTCTAGAAAACCGAAACCAACGGCCGTGGGGTTTCGTTGCGCTGTCCACGTGGCACCCTCTATCCGTAAAAGTTAGCACTAACTTTGCCGACAAACGGCGGTCTCTCAGTTGGTATAGTTCGCTTGCGGACTACATGCCACGGACACAGTGATTCTTGTAGCTTTTAAGAGCAACGAGTTCCAGCTTCTGTGCCATGACTTTCGTCGTACATTTATATTTTTCTATGGAATATTGCATATACTTATTTATTTTAACTATCATATTGTTGTTGTTATATGAAGTATCGGATAAAGTTTCCTCATATTAGTCTTCCTGGGTTTTATATTCTCCTTACAGATAGCAGAAAAATTCGTAATTTCATATTACTTTAATGAAACCGATGAGGCAACTTTGAAGTTCAGCACTTAGTGAGTAATGCCTTTTCTGTCTGTCTGAATAAATAAGCAGGGCTCCTCTGTTTGTATCTCGTTTGTTTTGAAACTTGTTACAGATCATTTCGAATATTAAAACCTACCCTAAACCAGTTCGGTACAGTTCATTTCTAAACTGTTTGTTCTCATAGCGTTCATTTTAATATTATCTCCCTATATACGTGTAAGTTTCTAAGTGGAATCTTTTCGTAAGGATATATTTTCAGGATATTTAAATATTTTCTCTTTTTTGCACGCGCTACATTATACATTATAATCGCTTTGTGTAGTCTTCAAATACTAATATACGATGCCACGAGAACAGATTATAAAGCTCGTCGCCAATTTTGTTTTATGTTTCTTTGGATGATGACCGCCATTTTGTTCAGCTACAATATCGAGAGATGTTTATTTTCATACACATACCATTTCTGTTCCTTCACCAAGGGAAACTTATGCGCCGATGAAACAAAGAGATAAAGTTGCGGAGACTTCTACCTTCTGGGATATACCGCCATGTAGTTCGTTGAAAATCAACTGATGTTTCGGAGAAACATGTCGCCTCCATTTTCGCTGTCTAAGAACAAATCAAGCAGGAAACCAGCGCGAAGCAGACAGCTGCATAGAGCCTGCTTAATGCTGGTTTCTTGCTTGGCTTACTCTCCAGCCTTGAAGATGGAAGCGACATGATCCTCCGAACTGTATGTAGCCCATTGAGAAAGGTGACTGACGTTTCGGAGGAACATGTCTCCATCTTCACTCTTTAAGAATAATTCTAAAATGAAACCAGCTTGGAAATGGTCCTTCTTGTTATCTGCCTCATGCTGTTGTATGTCTTATTCTTCGATCTTGAAGATGGAGGAGACGAGTCCTTCGAAACGCCGGTTGACTTTCAATGGAATACACGACTGTATATCCCAGAAGATAGAAGTCTTTTTTAAGCAACGTTGTTAAACATCAAATCCTACAAAAGTGCAGTTTTATGAGCTGCAGTTGGAGACTTTATTTAAGTAATGTTTGTAATTAGAAGGCATCTTTTAGGAATAAGAAAACAATATAAATTAACCAAATTATAACCAGAAATGAAAAATGTGCAGAATTGAAGCCAGACTAGTCTCATAATAAATAATCCGAGCTACAGACGGAAGACCCCCACGCAGCAAGGAATAATTGAAATTGGAAGTCCAACCGGCAGTCATTAAGGAATAAACACCCAATCCAGTTCAACAAAAAAAAACAATAAAATAAAATCATATTAAACAAACTATATAAAATAATCAGAATTCAAACTAATAAAGAAGGGAACAATCCAAAAGCAGGAAAAGAATAATAAGACAAATAATTAAAAACCAAAAGAGCGTAATGCTCGCTAGTAGGCAACTTAATCCCATCACTAAAAAGCTGGGAAGTCCTCATGAAACCAACTTTATTGGGACCCTTACGAATGTGAACATAACCTAAAAGACTCCGTTCCAGGAGGTGAGGAAGGCCATGACAGTCATAACAAAACAAATCAGCGCCATCATCATCATCATCATCATTTTGTCACATAACTTCTCTGGTTCGTGGGCCGCAGACACGAATCAGTCATTACATCCATTGCCGAGTCATTTAAGTTCTATCCATATTGCCAAAATCTTTCCTTTAACCTCACTGAATATTGTTCTCTCGTTTCCGTCGCACCCATGAACTGTTTAATTTCCAAGTTTTCCAATCCAAGTTTTTTTAGGAGCCGGGATAGCGTAGTCGGTATAGCGACTGGCTATGGGCTGGACGACCGAGGGTTTAGAGTTCGAGTCCCGGTAGGGTCAAGAATTTTCACTTCTCCCATCGTCCAGACCTGCTCTGAAGTCCACTTAACCTCCTATCCAGTGGGTACAGGCGGCTCTTTCCCGGGGGTAAACCGGCTGGAGCGTGAAGCTAACCACTCACCTCCAACTAGTCCTGAGGTCAAGAAAATGTAGATCTATACATCCACTCCCCCATACGTCTTAATGGCGTAATGCTTAATTAGTTAAGCACAGGGACAATTTTATTCTACCTTTACAGTTTTCCTTTATTACGCTAGAGCCACGTGGCCCATCCCATAGCAGCACCCCATCATTAACTTATAATGGTCATCACTATGACTAGTAACTTTCCGGCTGTCATAGGCAAGGCGGACATTGTTCGGATTTCCAACGTGCTGGACCAGGTTAGGCCTGTAAGGTCATGTGGGTTTCGGGGTCGATAAAGTGCCACTGGGACAGATTTTCTCAGAGTACTTCGGTTTCCTGTGCCAATTCTCATTAAACCAGCTGTTCCATGTCCATTAATCAACCTATCACTGACGCTATATATACATATATATATAGTCTCGATACTGAAAGCGTCATTAAATAATCGACTAAAAAGTAACTGCGAATTGTATATGCTATTCAGCTTAAAACCTAGCGGAATCATGTACACATGTTGGAAGGCCTAGTCGTAGATATAAATACAATATTGCAATGTATGTTAAGGGGAATAAGCTGGTCTGAACAAGAGCACTGGGAACCTGTGTTGACACTGTGTATTGTACCGCAGGTGCTGTGTAACACGGGCGGCCTCACGGAGATCCCCATCAAGTCGCTGCCTTCCACAGTGGAGCATCTCTCTCTTACGAAGAATCACTTCCCCATCATCAAAAGCGACGCTTTTGCCGGACTCCGTGGGTTAAAGAAGCTTTCCTTAGATGGGAACAACATTTCTATCATTAAACCTTTCGCTTTCCGTGGTCTTCCTCGCCTCAGAGAACTCTCAATCCAGCACACTCCTCTCACGACTGTTGCCCAGTTTTCCTTTGCCGGTCTCCAGAATATATCTACCATACACTTAGGGTACAATAGGATACAGCGTGTTGAAGGATATGCGTTTGCTGGGACATCCAACGTCCGACTTTTGCTCCTGAACAACAACCCACTTCACCGAGTGGACTCTTCGGCCTTCTCCGGTCTGTCCAATGTGGAACGTCTCATCTTCCCGTCCGGTATCCGCGCAGTGGAGCCCGACGCGTTCAGCGGCCTCGACACCGTCGGCGTCTTGAAGCTTGCCTTTATGGATCTCAGTTCTCTGAAACCTTTCACCTTCCGAGGCTTGAGCCATGTCCACGTTCTGGCGATTCAGGATTCTGACTTGGGTATCATTCGTGCTGGTGCATTTGAAGGCATGACTCAAGTCGGGATCCTGAGCATGAAGAATAACAAGATTGATGCCATTCAGGAACTAAGATTACGGCCTGTGAATCGTATAAGAATCTTTCATTTCCATGGAAACCACTTGCTGGAGACACCTCTGCCTGGTGCTGTTATTATTCAGGGTATCGAAGTTTTGAATGTCATAGACAACCACTTCCCTTGTGACTGCCACATACACACGCTTCTTGAGAGTCCTTTGGCTAACGATAGCACCGGAATAGACTTCAGAAGTAAGAACTATTGTATATCCCCTCTCGAAGTGAACGGAAAACCAATGAATGACTTGGACCTGGAGTCTATCGGGCGGTGCCAGGAGCAGGTGACGAGGGGGAACCTGGAGGCCTCTAAAGGTCCCACGAACACTGGTGCAATCAAAACGCCTTCCCGTCTACCTGGCGGTGCTCTAATCGTCTATTTGCTGGTTATTCTTTGTAAGAGATGAGAATTGCCTGTTAAGTGATAATTCATGAGCAATCACAGTTATTCAACGTAACTTTGGTCGGATTTATATACCAAAAAATTTTGGGATCATGCATCAACTGCCAATTTATAAATTTCCTTTAAAATATTTGATGTAAATACTCTATTGATATTTGTAAATAGTAAACTGAAAGCCCTAGAACATGTTCTCGTGTTTATGACAGGTGTGACTGTTGCGTACAGGGCGTTCCTTTAATGACATGAAGTGCTGTTTGCTCATGAAGTGGCGGAAGAAAGTGAATTTCATTTCCTGTTATGAAGCGAAGTGCTGCCCAGTACTGCCAAAGCCCATATGTATGTTCCTTTTAGTGTTGTGTACAGTGTTACATCTAGAACAGACAAATATTTCGTATGTCGACGAAGTGAAGAGACATAAGGGACAGTTATTGACTCCTTTTTATATTTAGCTTTAAGAGAACTGTATTGACAGTGTAACCAAAAAGAAGGTAACACCGGAGTTCTGGTCAACACAGAAGTGAAAATTAAACTGAATGACTTATGTAAGAGAATCATTCTTATTGCACAAGAGCTTAGAGCAATGTTGGAACATTCTCTATATAATTTTAGAGCGTGGTACTAACAAGAATATTGGAATGTTGTCTTATTAGAGATGTGTAATCTGTAGGAAATTTATACTGTTTCCCATGGATATCAATTACATTATGTTCAGCAAATATGTAAAATTTCTTACTTTTATCACAAGCGTTAGTTCATGAAGCACTCCAGGGAATGAGTTACGACTCTTAGCAGGACAGTCTATGTAGAGAACTTAACTAGACTTCGATTAATTTCTCGAACTAACCCGTATATTAAGGACGCGCCATGGCTCAAGCGGTTAATCATTGGCTTCCCACCACAGCGGCCCGGGTTCGATCCCGGGTCTGGTCAAGTGGGATTTGTGGTGGACAAAGTGGCGCTGGGGCAGGTTTTCTCCGAGTACTTCGGTTTCCCCTGCCAATCTTCATTCCACCAATTGCTCCACAATCACCCTCACCTATCATCTGGGGCTGGTACAATAGGCCAGATGTAGCCGCAGTACAAGGGACTTAGTCCCACCCCACTAGCAATAAGAAAACCCTATATTTCTTCAACTGACATCAGAGCAACATAATAGGCACCGCTCAGTACACGACTAAACAAAAGATACTTTTCTTTGTGCACAAATGTACAAATTTTGACAGTCAGTGGCTAAGACATTTGTTTTTCAGGTACAAATTAAATTTTGACACTAATTAACAGAAACAAAATGGCGGATCTTTCGAAATAAAAAATTACAATCTCTGTACAGTTTCCACAGATAACGTCACACTTACGCACTCATACGTTACAACAAGCCACGATTTCACTGAAACTCACGCCATCGAAAATGGAATAAATTTTGAAGAAAGCAGTCTTTTGGGATTTGGCACCGTGTATATGTGGTGTTAACCGACGTTTCGGAGGAACGTATCGCCTCCATCTTCAGGGTAGAAGGCTTGCAGATTTCTTATATTTTTTCTTCTACCCTGAAGATGGAGGCGATACGTTCCTCCGAAACGTCGGTTAACACCACATATACACGGTGCCAAATCCCAAAAGACTGCTTTCTTCATAGTCACCGCCGTGAAAGCCTCAAATCTTACGGAATATATTTTGATGGAAAAGTTCGAAACCGCAATGCAGACTGAAGCATGGATAGCCCTTACTGCAGTCTGCTGGTCCTCTCCGTTAACTGAAACGCACCTGCGCATTCTGAATTACCCCGTTGAAAAGAACTTGCGGAATCTTCGAAATGCCAATTCCCATTTTTAGCTACAGTTTCCACAGACAATGCCTGAATCGATCCATTCTTACTCCTATACCTTATCTTACCATTTCACTGAATATATTCTATATCAATAAAGCGAATCTGTATTTAGCAAAGTCCGACACTGCAATGCCGACCGAGCTATGGTTATCTCTCGTTGTTACCTGTCAGCCTTTTAGTAATTACTACGCAAATAGTACGTAAAGTAAAGGTAAAGGTAAAGCGGCCTCCGTAGTCTAGAGGTAACGTTCCCACTTCATGACTCGTAGTACGCGGGTTCAAATACCCGGCGGAGGTCGTCGAATTTTTAAGGGCGGAAAAATTCAGGGAACAAGTCCTCCGGGAGGGACTTTAAGCCGTGGGTCCCGTGTCGTAGCTTTACGGCACGTAAAAGAACCTCATATCTCCAAAGGAGGTCACAGCCAAATTACGGACGTTTCCCGCCCAACAGCAGTCTCTAATACCTCTGGTAGATGGGGGAAGCATTATAGATACCTCTCAGCTAGTACAGCCGGTTTCGCTGGCTGGGCGGGACTGATGGTAAGCACAGTACCGGTAGGATATAGAGACTGGTAGAAATCATAGAGGGAAGCACAATGCACCAATACAGGTCTCAGTGCATGGGGAAACCCACCCTCTCCAATAACTAACTAACTAACTAAACGTAAAGGTAAAGATATCCCTGTGCTTACCTAATTAAGCACTACGCCATGGATACGAATGGGGGAGTGCATGTATAGATCCACATTTTCTTGACATCGGCACTTGTTGGAGTTGAGTGGTGAGCTTCACGCCCCGGCCGCTTTACCCCCCGGGAAAGAGCTTCCGGTACCTATTGGTTAGGAGATTGGGTGAACCCCAGAGCACGTCTGGACGCTAGGAGAAATGAAAATTCTTGACCCTACCGGGACTCGAACTCCGATCCCTCGGTCGTCCAGGCCATAGCCAGTCACTATACCAACTACGCTATCCCGGCTCCTAGTACGTAAGGATGAGGACCAAATAAAGAGAAGATTGCAAATTTGATACTTATATATATAAGGGCTATCACAATTGCTCTTCATTTTGTATCGCGTCCCTGACGTTACATGTACCCTCATAACGTGAGGTCCCGTCGAGGTCTCCACAGTGATGAACCTCAGCGTTCTCCCCCATTTCGTAACATTTTATGCCACTTTCATGTTTCTTTCTACGTAATCAACTGCATTAGAACTCCTTCCATAGGGTACCGTATTCCATCTATCTATGGCTATCTATCTATTTTTCAGTTTCGCAATATGTACACAGTCGGTAGGCTTCCTTTGACGGGGGATCAGCCCGTCACAAGGCAGCTACCTACACACAGACATCCATGCCTGGAATGTGATTCGAAACCACGATCCCAGTGTTCGAGCGGGCGAAAACGGTTCATTCCTTAGACCGCGTGACCACTGTGATAAGCGACTAACTTATTCAGTTGCCTAAAACTAACTCACGATGTTAAAATTATTGAGCACAAGATATAGAATGTGGAGAGGAAGATAAAAGGCACATTTCCGAGTATAATAAACGGTACCTGTGACATCCAACCTACCATTACGACGCATTTTATATGTTGGAATTTAGCCAAACCAATGAGTTTTTTTTTAAACAAGGCAATTACGGTGCTACCAACATCCCTCCTTCTACCGCCAACCCCGCAGACACTGTATACACAACACTAGAAACCCATGATATATATTTTAACCAACTCGTTGGCCTGCAAAGCGTTACAGCTAACTGCAGACTAAATTTCTATACTTCTCCCACAACAAAGTCCCTCATTCCGCGGGGTTAATTTATAGCCTCGAACTCGTAGTACTAGAGTTCTGCCTCACCCCACCACATCGCCATAGCCATCACTTCCCCCCCCCCAACTTGATGAAACAATATAATTCTCTCTTTCTACCTGGCCGGGTCCTTTACCATTCCCTTTTCCTTAGTATTCTTCTGAATTAGTTTTGCTATAGCCCGTCATACGTTCCTCCTGCTTCATTCACGTGTATATTATGTCATGTTATTTACAGCGGCCCTGAACCTCAGAGTCAGTTCTCTTTTTTATGCTCATTTAACGACACTTTCAATAGCTAAAGCTGTACATCGTTTGATAGAGGGGTAACTCAGATGAATTAAAGAGATTTGGAAGGAAGCTATCGTGGCGTAATCGAGGTATTCACCAAGAATTCAACTCGACCGGCTGAGAAAACCCACGAAGGAACCTGTCAGAATAATCAGGATCCCGGCCGAAGGCGAACTCTCCATGGTATCACGGCTTCATCTAGTGACTTCTTCCTCTGGAATGTAAAGTCTCTCTTTATTAATCCCTGTCACCTTTTGTTTTCTGATTTTCGTAGGGCTCCGGCAGTATAATCTAATTAATTTTGTTACTAATTGGTTCTTCAGTATGAGTGTTAGGTCTAAGCACAATAGACCACTGTAGGTCGCGGTGCAAGGGCCGAGAAGGCCCATCCCTTATACATTCATTCATTCATTCATATCAGGTCTAGTTTTTGTGTGTAATCTACAGATGTCACGAATGCTTGACCTCGGATAATACTTACAAGACACCCCAAGAGATGTCACTGCGTACATTGCAAAAACAGAAAACACTGACGTTATACGCCCATAATCAGTAAGCATTTCTCTCCCACTGCGATACCGTTATTCATAGCGCTGTCTTCTGCTATTAATGTTGACGTTGGGTGAGTGTCTTGAAGTAAATGAAGAATTTTTAAAGAATCATACAATAAGACACTCCGTATTACCACATTTTTTCCCCCTTTAGTGGTGTAGGACTAAGTCCACTTGGTACTGCGGCCACTTTTGGCCTACTGTACCAGCCCCAGATTATAGATGATGGTGATTGTGGAGCAGTTGGTTGAATGAAGAATGAAACCGAAGTACTCGGAGAAAACATGCACCAACTCCACTTTGTCTACCACAAATCCCACATGACCAGACCCCGGTCTCGAACTTGGGCCGCCGCGGTGGGAAGCCAGCGACTAACCGCTTGAGCTATAGCGCGGCCTTACCACATAATTAATCAATGCCGCAGGATGTCTCACGTGAAAGCAGAACATCTGAAGCAAATCTCTTCGAAACTGTTAACTCTCAATCTACTGTTAAGTTTGGCTACGGCCTCGTCTAATTATTATAATGGAACCTCGTCACGTGAACTCATTAACAGCTCCTTAATGCTGTTTTCAACTTGGCCAAACGACGCGGCCTGCAGATTTGCTTACTATTATTGTTGTTCCTGATGATGATGGAGAGCTCGTGTGACATTTCGGACAGCTATTTGAAACCATAACACAGTACTAGAAACCTCCACGGCACATTGAATACTTAATGTAGGCAACATGTCCCTTCATCCCCTAACAATGGCAAGTTATATCTGATGTATATTGTAGATAAAAGAACATATTATAAGTCTTGTTCAAAGAATTGTCCTGGGGGCTCTGCCGCAGACCGAATTGCAAATAAACGTCGTTTTATATAATCATGTGGACATACGTATGTGTAAATTAGGTGCTCAGAATATAAACGGCTTTCAGTTACTGTGTACAGTGCTAACAAAACCGAAGACAGTGACCTCATGGTTTAAAACATGAAAAATCTTCGCCCTCTCAAACTAGGATCGTGAGTTTGAATCCTACTCGAGGCATGAACGTATGCCTGCTTTTGTTTTATGGTCGAAAGTCGCACAATGATCGCTTAGAAATTTAATATGCAAAAGAGTCTAGTAAATTAACTTAAAATGTCTGAGGAGCGCAGGTTTTGAACCCGAATTAGTCAAAAAAGTTGAAAGCAGAGTGTTCATTCGGAACTGAACTCTTCTGGAGAAGAGGTTCCCTCGAAGATCCA